CAGTTGTTGTTGTTATGTGCCGTCAAGTTGGACCTGACTCAAAGCGACCCCTCCTTGGGTTTCCGAGGCAGTATCGCTACGGAAATAGATTGCCCCATCTCCCTTCCGAGGAGTGGCTGGTGAGTTTGCACCGCCAGCCTTCTGGTTAGCAGTCAAATGCCTTAGGCACTACGCTACCAGAGCTCCTTAAAAATTATATAAGTATTTCTATTTGGAATGGATATGTACATGTAGGTATATATGCATATAATCAGGAAAACCAAGTAGTTCTCAACTCAGGCTGTACATAAGAATCACCTAGAAAGCTTCAGAAAAACACCTAGTCTCAGCCTCATGCCCTGGGGATCTGACTTAATTGCTCTGGGGTGGGTCCTGCATCAGGATTGTACATGTCCCAGGTGATTCTAATAGGCAAACAGCACTAAGCGCATCTGACCTAGGTTCTAAAAGCCCTAGGAGTAGAGTTTGTGTTTCTCATTCACTGTAGTAGGTAACCCAGCCCACAACCTGGATATGGGAGGTGCTCAATCAGTTGAAGGTTCAATTCATTGGAGAAAAAAAAAAAAACCATTAATATAGAGATAATTAAGCATTTCTTATTGTTAAGAAGATAAATTCCATACCCTAACTTGAGAACTAAGAAAGTTAGAGGGATCAGAAAGTAAACAGAATATGTTGACCTCAGGACTTCACTCCAGGTGGATCTTCTGCTGAGAATTTGCATTTCCATCGCAGATATACTGAATCAGAATCTGCATTTTAACAAGATCCCCACATGATTCTCTAACAAGATTTAAACTATTTGAAGTTTTTTTAAAAAAAGAAAAAAATAATAATCACCTGGGGATCTTGTTAAAATGCAGATTGATTCAGTGTATCTGAGGTGGAAATGCAAATCCTCAGCAGGAGGTCAAACCAGCATGAACCAGTTCTAAACCTTGGTTAAATTTGCATTTCATAATCTAGGCCTAAGGAGCTCTGATGGTGTGGTGGATAAGGCATTTGGCTGCTAACCAGAAGGTCAGTGGTTTAAACCCACTAGCTGCTCTGTGGAAGGAAGATGGGGCAATCTACTTTCGTAATGATTTACAGCCTCAGAAACCCAATGGGGGTATCTATGAGTCAGAATCAACTCTATGGCAGTGAGTTTGGTTTGATTTTTAATCTAGGCCTAGGCAAAAAGGAAGCACTGTTTAAACTTATCTTAAAGCCCCAAGGCAGGTCTTCTTAGAGCAAAGATCAAAGCCATATTAGAGCAGAAGCCTCCAAGATTCCTTTTTCCCCACCACACCTCATTATCCTTACCTTGAGTTCTGTAACTTCTTTTTCTTGTAAGAATACCCTAGGTAAAAAGGGGAAAAAAAAAAATTTTTAAATGTTTTCATAAAGTAAAGATGACATAAACAAAATAGGCTCATTGGAAGGAAGACTTGTTTTGGGAAATCTGGTTTCACTTTAGATTGAATTAAATATAACTGCCAATCTGTGTCTTCCTTTATTACATGGACCAGGCTAGACAGTAATAAAGACGCATTTCTCTTATTCAAAATATTATGGAGCATTTATTATATGCCTGGCTGTTTGATAGGCACTGGAGACACAAAGGTGAATTATAAACCCTAACTTCTTGAAACTTACGTTCTAGTGGAGGAGGCACATTTTCTAAATAATTTAAAAAACAGTAAGTAGAAAAATAAAATAACTTCATAATGTGATGTGTTATGAAGGAAACTAATAAAGCACTGATAAGAGAGTGTGATTGGGGAAGAACTCTCAGAGGAGGTGACCTTTACATTCAATAATGAAAAGAGGAGAATTAGACAAGTGAAGACCAGGATAATATTCAAGGAGACAGAACCCCTGATAAAGAGCTTGGTGAGTACTTGGGTGGAGCAAGGGAGTGACCCAACATAAGATCTGAGTGGTAAATGAGGCTAGATCCTACTAAACAGTATCAGGAGTCTAGATTTTATTCTAAGACCAGTAGAAAATCACTGAAGGGCAGAGATATGATCTGATTTGTGTTTTAAGAAATCACTGCTATTTTGAGAATGGATAAAAAGGAGGAACAAAGAAATGAGAAGGTAACTTAGACATGATGGTACCTTGGAGTGAGGAAATGGCTGGGAGAGACAGAATAGTGAATAGATTCTAGGTATATGTTGGAGAAAGACTTTTCAGGAATTGAAGATAGATTGTGCATTCGGTGTCAAAAATGAGAGGATTCAGGATGATGTGGCTTTCTAGCTTTAGCAACCAGATGTATGGTGATGGCACTTACTATGATGGGGAAGACCAGAGAGGGAGAAGTTAGGGTTTAGGATATTAAATATAGACTCTACAGCTCAATTTTAGACATGGTAAATGTGTGAGACATCTAAGTGGAGACATCAGTTAGACAGTTGGATAAGTAGTACCAATACTTTAAGAATTGGAAAGAGAAATTAAAGATGACATTTAAATCCATAGGAATATATTCCATAACCTAGTATGCGCAGAGAAAGGAAAAGATTTATCCCTAAGGAATCTCAACATCTAGATACCAGGCAAAAGAAGAGAAAACAGCAAAGATGACTAAAAAGGAGTAGCCAATGAGGTAAGAGGGGAGTGATTCCAGACTTACTAGAATGAATGGAGACAACTTGATCAGATATTACTGAAAGACTGACTATAATAAAGACATTAGAATTGGCAAAATGGAGGTTATTGGTGAGTTTGATTATAGCTATTTTCATGACACTTCAGGGAAGCGAGATCAGAAGCTAGATGATGGAGGGTTGAAGAGTACAAAGGTGAGTAGAGACAACTCATTCAAGAAACATACCTGTGAAGGAGAGCAGAGAAATGGAAGCTGGAGAGGATGTATATAGACAAACATATTTATATCCTAAGGGAAGTGATCCAATAGAAAGGGACAGGTAGATGGTTCAAGAGAATGGAATTACCTTAGTTACCTAGTGCTGCTATAATAGAAATATCACAAATGGATGGCTTTAACAAACAGAAATGTATTTTCTCACAGTTTAGGAAGCTTGAAGCCTGAATTCAGGATAGTGGCTCTTGAGCAAGGATTTCTTTCTCTATTGGCTCTAGGGAAAGGTTCTTGTATCTTCAGCCTCTGTTTCTTGGTTCCTTGGAGATCTCATGTAGCGTGACATCTATCTGCTCTGCTCTGTGTCTGTTTGCTTGCTTAATCTGCTCTTTCATATCTCCAAAGAGATTGATTGAAGATATATCCTACACTAATATTGTATCATTAATATAATAAAGACAACTCATTCCCAAATGGCATTATAACCACAGGTATGGTGTTAGGATTTACAATACATATTTTTTGGGGACACAATTTAATCCATAACAGGGGTAAAAGGAAGGAAAAAGTCCTGACTAAATATGGGAGATGGGATAGGCCTTGAATTCTTCATCAGTTGAGAGGAGGGTGAAGGAGGATTGAGTTATAGAAAGATATGGATGGTCATCTCAGGGAGTACAGAGTCATAGCAGGACTCCTGGGCATTATGGAGTGCCAATTTGTGGTTCCTAAGGTCATGACTTTAAAAACTTGTCACTTTGTTTGTAAGATTTTCTTCAGCAGGGGATCTATGTAGGAGATCCTTGATAGAGAGGGAGAACAATGTGGAATAAAACTCAAAATCATTTGGAGAAAAAAAAAAAAGATGGGGACCAGATTTGCTAGTCTGATAGAGCCTGGTGGAACCACTGAGACTATGGCCCCTAGCTGCCCTTCAGGTCTGGAATTGAACACAC